GATTGCAGCGTCTCCACGGACACGTCGAACGGTTCCCAAGGATCCGCCGGGAGGATGATAGGACCGCCGGCCATTACGCAGTGGAGAATGCTGCTACGGCAGTAAGCCTCACTCTCTCTCTCGCCCTCTCTCTCTCTCTCGTCCTTCTCCCTTCTTCTCCTCGGTGCTCTCTGATCCTAGCAACGGCTCGAGGATAGCAAAGGCGAAGCAGGCAAGGTAAGGGGGGGAGGGGCGAGGCTCGTTGCGTATTTATGCAGGATGGGGACGGACGGGCGACGAAATCAGGGGAGTTTCCCCCGAATCTATTACAGTTAATCCAGATCCGATTTTACCGCCCACGTACCCACCTTTTCCTTATTAATCGCGTGAACAGTTACGTCCCATCCGCTGACACAATGTCGTGTCTGGCCTCAACAGCGGCAGGCGCCGTTCCGCCTCCCCGAAAAAACCACCTCAAAAGGCGCTCCTGTCGTTGTTAGCCGAGGGGAGGGGAGTATCCCCCATCCGATTCCTTTCAAACGAAGGAACTAGGCACCGAGCCCATTACGGTCCAGGGGTTCGAAGGCTGGACCCCCGAGGGTCTCGATAGTCGCCCCAGGACAATAGTGTTAGGGACAACTATGGGCAAGCCCGTACATGGCTGAGGCCCGAGCAAGCGATCGCTCGGGATGCCCTAAGTCGTGTCCGAGACCAGCAAGAAGGTCTCCGAATGGGATCCCACCGTTGGGAGGCGCCGAGCCCCTGGGGCCAATCGAACGGCCTTGGGACCCACTAGAGAAACCCTCTAATACTTTTGGAGTGCGTCTCTGGACCACTAGCCGACCCCTATCGGATGGGGCACGGGCCTCCACTCGGACTTACCCGATAACAACTCACCGGAAGTGTCACCGCTCGCGCCCACCGAGGGTAGCCTGACATATTCCACCCCTCCTTCCGAACGAAAAGGATGCGCGAGGGTCGCAAAAAAGCCAGGGGAACTCCCGATCGCCCTCTCGCCCCATGCAGAGGCTTGGGGGCTCTTCCTGCGACCCTGCCAAGACCCAGCGACCCAGGCTCGCACTCGAGGGCTCGGCAAACAACCCCTCCTTCCGAACGAAAAGGATGCACGAGGGTCGCAAAAAGTCAGGGGAACTCCCGATCGCCCTCTCGCTCCGTGCAGAGGCTTGGGGGCTCTTCCTGCGACCTTGTCGAGACCCAGCGACCCAGGCTTGCACTCGAGGGCTCGGCAAACAACCCCTCCTTCCGAACGAAAAGGGCCGCCCTCTCGCCCCGTGTAGAGGCTCGGGGGCTCTTCCTGCAACCTTGCTGAGACCCAGCGACCCAGGCTCGCACTCAAGGGCTCGGCAAACAACCCCTCCTTCTGAACAAAAAGGATGCGCGAGGGTCGCAAAAAAGCCAGGGGAACTCCCGATCGCCCTCTCGCCCCGTGCAGAGGCTCGGGGGCTCTTCCTGCGACCTTACCGAGACCCAGCGACCCAGGCTCGCACTCAAGGGCTCGGCAAACAACCCCTCCTTCCGAACGAAAAGGATGCGCGAGGGTCGCAAAAAAGCCAGGGGAACTCCTGATCGCCCTCTCGCTCCGTGCAGAGGCTCAGGGGCTCTTCCTGCGACCTTGCCGAGGACCAGCGACCCGAACTCACACTCGAGGGCTCGGCAAACGCGATAAACTCCTTACTCAACAGAGAAAAAGCCCCTGGAGGAGTAAATCCACTCCTCCAGGGCCTCGGGGGCTACACCCGGCGGGTGCACTCGCGCGCACCCACCGGAACCACGAGTACAAAACACAATCCCGACGGGAGCTGTTGCACGCCAAGTCTCGACAAAGCCTCAAGGAGAGTGCTCGCCCTCTCCCCGAGACTCGAGGGGCTACTGTCGGATACCATAAAAAGGGGTACCCTAAGCAGAAACCGAAAAGATTGCTTAGACCTTGTAAATATCAATACCAAAGGACAACCATGGGGTCTCGGCTGATTCTTCGATTCGCCCGAGGCCCGCGCCGCAAAGGCCTCGGACAAAAGGCCAACTCTCCGCCTCGCCGAGGCCCTCTCAACCGAGACCCCGCCCCGCAAGGCCTCGGACGGATTACTGATTCTCCGATTCGCCCAAGGCCGGGCTCGGCAACAACCTCGTCGCCTCCGTCTCGACCGACCTCTCTGACAAAACGTCACGTGTCCAACCACTCCCGCAACGTTAGCCGTACATCAGCACAGTACAGCGGAATGGCCGATAGGACGGGAGTCACATCGACGCCAGGCGGTCGGGGATAGGATCAAGGCGAGGTTACCGATCACCGTGTTTCAAAGATCGCGCTGCCCATGGATCGACGCCCAGATCTTGACTCAGGTGCTACCTAACTCCTGCTCCGAGAACAGCGCGACGTGGAGAGTCAGTTCCGGGTCCCCGTAGCCTCGAAATCGGACCAACTGCTCACGCTCCGCCTCGCCCGAGACCCCCAGGCGGGGTCTCGGACGTACTGTTCCAACTCTGCCTCGCCCGAGACCCCCAGGCGGGGTCTCGGACGTACTGGTCTAGCTCCGCCTCGACCGAGGCCGGGCTCGTCCCGCATCCTCGCCGCATCCGCCTCAACCGTCCCTATGGCAGGCTATCCCATCCATTTAATGCGCCTGAATGCACCCACTACGTCAGCCACGACCGGCGGTGTACAGCAACAGGGGCGATGGGACAACGGTCAAATCACCCTTTTTACCATCCCTTACTGACGGTGTAGGGGTTACCATGCCCTACGGACTCACGCCCTGCACTTTTCTACCTAAACCGGGTACGACGCTGACCACCGAGGCCCCCGCATCGTACACAGGTCACCTTCAGGGCCTCGGCAGAACAGGCCTCGGTGCGATCAGCTACAAACACCCGCCAGGCCTCGGCACTCCACCAAGTCAAAGGTCCACAGGGCTCGGCATGTCTCCTACAGTGGAGGCCACGCTGACTAGACGTCAACAGGGACTCCCACGACCTCAACAGCCTCGAGCATGGCCAGCGTGACGCACCAGTAATCAAGTACCGATTGCTATTCCCAACACCATGCTGCTACATGAGTGGGCTACAGTACTAGATCTTCCTTCTAAGGCTCCATGTATAGCTCTCTCATGTACTCCTGGCTCCCTCCTTGCAGCTATAAAAGGAGGCAGCCAGGGCCGTTTCTAAGGATGGAGACCACGCCCGCACTCACGCGCAAACGCACTCACTCAACCCACACGACGGAAACGACACTCCGTAACACACACGCTCCCCCCGCTGCCTGAGAGCAACGTCTCAAGCAGCCCCTACCGCCTCACGCAGAGACCTGGGACTAGCTCCCTCTCTCGCCCAGCTTGTAAACCCCTACTACAAGCACCTCGGTGCAAGGAATACAAGATCGCACTCTCGGACTGGATGTAGGGCACCTATTGCCTGAACCAGTATAAACCTTGTGTCTTCTTGCATCACCATCCGGGATAGGGGCACACAGTACAAATTCTCTGGTTGGTTGAGGACCCACCCGGTCCGAAACACCGACACCTGGGTAGGGCTGCTAGGCAAACCACCCCTACAAATGGTCTGGAGCCGCCCCTATAAATCCTTATTGCAGTAGTGTGATATTTTTGGAACAATATTATATATATATATTTCCTACATTGTGTTAATTGACCCAAATAGGAAAGACATTAGTAAACATACATCCCAGCATACGAAGATAGGGACTGGTTACAGACGAGAGATAGAGTTAGTAGTAGATACAACAATAAGTAATGACTGACGTAAAAAAGAACTTTATGCCTGGACACTCAATTAATGTAACAGTGAGAGGAAAGTGTATTATGGTCGTGATGCAGCTGGGGATGAAATCCATCCTGGCAGTATCATTGGTGCGGTGTAGCTGTTTCATTTCATACTTCTTCATATTACAAATATATATATGTGTTCATCTAGGTTTGCCTTTGTCAAGCTTTTTTCTATTTTCATCATCAAATATTTAACTTTTATATATATTGAAAACACGAGGTCAATGCTATTAAAATCATTATCATAGATATTTTTATAAGGGAGTGTCTAGTTATCTGCCGACATATTTTATATGGCCAAATCTGTCAGATTTTTTATAAATGCTACCTAGTACTCCCTCCGTCCCTAAATAACTGTCGTTTTTTGTTTCCGTGCCATAAGTCTGACTAGATTTGTAGAAAATGCATACAACATTTGTATCTCCAAATAAATTTATTATGAAAATAGATTCAATGATCTATCTAATGATATTAATAATACTAATATTTTTTATATATTTAGTCAAAGTTGTTTCTCAGGGAGCAAAAACGATCGTTATTTATGGACGGAGGAAGTAGACAATTGTAGCACAAATCCTAAAGCACAATCGAACATATAGCAATCTGACAGATTCAGTACCAAAAAAATCTATCAACAGATAAATAGCAAAAGTCTTTTCATAATATACAGATCTTTTATTCTCAATCACTATTGAGATTCAAATACAAATGGTCAAAGTTAATTTTTTTTATTTATAACAAACAGAGGTGGACTTATATTTGTGGACGAAACATGGATTTTACATTTGTGGTTGAATGAAGTACTAGTGTTGGGTCATATTTATCACAGGCAAATTATACGTACCAATTAATTGTGACTAGAAAAACATGAAGAGGCTATGTACTTACTGCGAGAGTATATATAGTCATTGTGCTTATATATATGACATGCAGATTTGGAGAAAACGACAAGATATACAATAGATATTGGAATAGAGAATAGAGCCTATAGGTATTTAAAAATATATTTTCTTACAACGTTAATAACTATTTTCATTAATAAACTACGGCAACAATTGCTGATTAGTGTAAATAAAAAACAAAGGCAACAATTATGGGTAGTAATTAGTTAAGAATGGTGGTTAACTACTCTTTCCGTGTCGTCATCATACGGTATATAGGCATGCATTTGTACTACTAATTCATGTGTCATGACGTCAGCGCAGTTGGTGCACACACCTGCCTTGCCCAAACATTTCAGGTTTTCTGTCGGTTGAATCTTTGAGCTCGTCGTCTTCTCCATCCTCCTCGGTAAATGGATCCGTAGGCAGTGTTGCATGGCTATATGGCCTAATACCTCGGAGCTCATCCTGAGGCCGCCAATTCCTCCCCTGCAATCGAAAAGAAAAAGGAGATCTAAATGCTATACTAATTTAGACATCGATGAATTAGAATCACCATAAATTGTAACTTCAAGCAGAGTACGTATATTTATATGTTCTGCATGCATGCAAAAATGCGCCCGTCATACCTGGTCGACGATCAGATAGTCGAGTACGTAGGTGCCCCTGCTTCGGCTGCCCTCACCAACAATACGACCAGTCATAACATCCCTTACGTAGCAATGTTCCGGAGTAAAACACAGGTTGTAGCCACTTTTGATAAGCATGCCCACGCTGATGATGTTGAGTGTCATTCCTGGAATATAGTGTACGTCCGACAACTTGAATAGCTTGGTCTGCACCGACCCACTTCCCTTAAGGGAAACACACATGCAACTTGCCCGGTGTTGGTAACAATGCAGCCAGCTGGGGTCGTAGGTAACGTGAAACGCTGCACCCGTGTCCAGAACCCACTTCGTGCTGTCGTTACCCTCTTCACGGTACAACGACTTGTGTGCCCTGTCGACGAGAATAATTATAGGAAAACATGACATTAGTATATATATGTTTATAACAGTATATATACATATATACATCTCTATCATGCAGGCCTCTATAACTTTTATTATTAACCATAGAACAGTAGAAGATATATGGATTGGAATTAATACAATTGTAAAGAAGTTAAAGTCCACACACCAGAGCATATGATTAAAATAAAAGGAATGGGTGAAAAGTAACTTACAAATTAAAGACGGCTATAGAAAGAGATAGGACCAAGTCCATTTGATAATAAAATGAGATAAGGCCAATCCCAACCAAAAAACAATCATAGTTTCTATATTCATTAAATAGGGTGCCAACTAAGTAAAATGATAGTATGCTGGCATTGGAATTAAAGAAGAGTGGGGAGGAAAACTAGAAACTATGTCTACACGGAAACCAAAATATAAAGAGATGTGACAGATAGATAATGGAGAGAGATGACACTTGGTTGGAAAAAAAATATTTTGAAGAAGCTATCAATTGAAAATATAGTTTTTATGTGTATTGTCTACATAATTTTGGCAAGAATATATAAAAACTACCTTATAGTTTCTGGGTTGGGACCCCTAAGTACTGTTAGAATAAATGGGCTAGGTCCAATACAAATTATGAATAATTTCAATGAAAATCTCAAAGGCTCATTCATGCATGTGTGGTATAGAGGAGCAGTGGAAATTCTTTTGTCACACCCTGCTTGTGGAAGTGGAGGTTGCAATATTTAACATGCACTACCAATATCCCGAATTACCTTGCGTGCTAAAAACCGTCAACGAAATAATCCTTGTCTATAAACTGTCAAAGATAGAGAATAGGATAAATTGTTTTCCTTGCAGTTTTGGCATTCAAGGGTGATTTCCTCAGAAGCTAGCTACTAAGGAAACCAGGACCACACCAAATTTACCAAACCGACAAGAAAATATTCCAACCGCCAAACTAAATTAGTTTCCTTGAGGGCCAGCAACTTTCAAGAAAATATTCTAACCATTAAGTAAATTAGTTTCCTTAGGGAAAACAACCTCCAAGAAAATATAGAGCAAGAGAAAGCAAAAAATAATCAGAACTTAGTGAAAGCCATTTTTCAAGCGCTCTCGAGCATCTAAAGTGCACTTACCGCTATCACTACCGGAGACGGCTTCTTTGCCGAGTGTCCCAGACTTTGCCGAGTGCTTTTTATCGGGCGCTCGGCAAAGGGGCTATTTGCCGAGTGTCAGAGAGAAAGCACTCGGCAAAGACCAGGTTTGCCGAGTGTCGGACACTCGGCAAACTAGAACACTCGGCAAAGGGCCGCCGCCGTTAACGGCTGGCAGCCGCCGTTAACCCTTTGCCGAGTGTCTTCTCCTGACACTCGGCAAAGCGGTGATTTGCCGAGTGTATTCTCCTGACACTTGGCAAAGCGGTGATTTGCCGAGTGTCATTTTTTTACACTCGGCAAACCATATTTTTTTCACACTTTTGACCTCCAAACTTTTTCTGCAGTCCTCATACAATACCTGGTACTTCATGTTCCAATGTGGCACATTTCTCGGGCTTTTTCTATATTTCTTTAATTTATTTCATTTAATTGAATTTTCTTGGATAATTCAAATTATAACTGCTAGTCATTCGAATAATGAAAAAAATGAATGGGAAAATGATATTCATGTTATTTAGTATAATATGAGGCCGTATCCAAGAACAGACCACCAATTTCGAACATCTTATTCACGAAACATGACCACGAACTTGCGGTCGAGTTGTTTTTAAATTCTATAAAAAAGCAAACGAAGACCGAAAATCTTGAAACTTGTCGAGATGTCATGATATCATATGTGGAGGCTGTGATAAAAAATTGAGGAGGTTTCGTGCAAGTTTGTCACGTACGATGCTTACCACATCATCGGCCTCTTCACGAAATCATGAAATTTCTTCGGAGATTCTTCGGTTTGCAAGCATCGTATGTGACAACTTGCGCGAAACCTTCTCAAATTTTTATCACAGCCTCCACATATGATATCATGACATCTTGACAAGTTTCATGATTTTCGAACTTCGTTTGCTTTTTATAGAATTTAAAAACAACTCGTTCGTGGTCATATTTCGTGAACAAGATGTTCAAAATTGGTGGTCTGTTCCTGGATACGGCCTCACATTATACTAAATAACATGAATATCATTTTTCCATTCATGTTTTTCATTATTCGAATGACTAGCAGTTATAATTTGAATTATCCAAGAAAATTCAATTAAATGAAATAAATTAAAAAAATATAGAAAAAGTCCGAGAAATGTGCCACATTGGAACATGGAGTACTAGGTATTGTATGAGGACTGCAGAAAAAGGTTCGAGGTCAAAAGTGAAAAAAAATATGGTTTGTCGAGTGTTAAAAAATGACACTCGGCAAATCACCTCTTTGTCGAGTGTCAGGAGAAGACACTCGGCAAAGAGTGTCAGGAGAAGACACTCGGTAAAGAGGTTGGTTTGCCAAGTGTCAAAAAAACACTCGGCAAAGAGGAGGTTTGCCGAGTGTCAAAAAAAACACTCGGCAAAGAAATAAAATCTTTTTTCTAGAAACGAAGGAGAAGAAAAAATAAAAAAAACTTTACCGAGTGCTCAGATCTAGAACACTCGGCAAACCCTGCTTTGCCGAGTGTCAGGTCAAGGACACTCGGCAAAAAATAAATAAAAAATAATCATTTGCCGAGTGTCAGATCTAGAACACTCGGCAAACACTGCTTTGCCGAGTGTCAAATCTCGGACACTCGGCAAAGCTGCTATACTATATAACTGCACGGCGACACGCAACAGCCAGGCAAATCCGAGGGTGGGCAGCTCACCTAGCGGGGCGTGAGTCAGCGCGGGCGGCGATGGAGCGGCGGGCGCAGCAGCCCGGCGACACGCAACAGCCAGGCAAGGACGGCGGCGGCGACTCTCCTCCACCGCAACTGGTAAGACCCGCTCTCCTCCTGCTGCACAGAGCTCCACGAACCTTCTTGTACATCTTCATCCCATGGAAGGTCTGCTTGTTGTCTGCTGTCTGCTTGCCGCGGAAGGTCTCCTCCTCCTGCTGCACCTGCTCTCCTCGAACTAACGCGCTTGCTGTCTGCTTGCCACTTGGCAGTTCTTGGAGGTGACGTGCAGGAGCTCCGGCAAGGTTCGGCGGTTCGCGGCAAGGACGACGGCCCGCTACGCGCTGCACGCCGTCAACCGCAAGCTCGAACCCGGGGCCCCGTCGGCGCTGCACGTCGAGGCCGTTAGGGATGGCGAAGAGCCCATCAGCTTCGGCCCCAGCGCGGCCATCGCCGACTACGGGCGCGGCTGGAGGTTGCAGACCGTCACTGCGCAGGACGCGCCCGGGATCCATCACGCCCCGCACGCGGAAAGGCAGCGGCGGCGGTTTTTTTATATTTTTTTAAAAAATTCGTTGCCGAGTGTCGATTTAGCACTCGACAAAGGCTTTGCCGTCACGGTGGCGCTCGCCGTCACGGCGACTTTTCTTTGCCGAGTGTCAGATTAGCACTCGACAAAGCCTTTGCCGAGTGCCTGATAACGTGCACTCGGCAAAGAGGTCTTTGCCGATAAACTGTTTGTCGAGCGCCCTTTGCCGGCAAAGGTTTTGCTGAGTGTATATTGGCATTTGCCCAGTGCCTGAGGCACTCGGCAAAGAAGCTGAATCCGGTAGTGTATGCCCCCTCTATTCCCGAAAGAATCAATTTCTAACCCAAAAATTTGTCTCCAGAAGAATCAATTTCTGGAGGTGAACAGTCCACCGATCCACATTAATCTCTCTCGTAGTCTGGGTTGCATTTAACAAAACATCTCTCTCTTGCGCTGCCATTGCACTACTACACAAAATATTTTGCACAGCGTTTCCGAAATGGCCTCGAAGGCAGGCGGGAATTTCAACCACCTCGGTTAATGCCTGGGATTAACCGAGGCGGTCATTTTTACTAACCGAGGCGGTCAGAATTAACCGCCTCGTAAAATCGATTTACGGACCGCCTCCTAAAATCTATTAACCGAGGCGGACGACCCGCCTCCAAAAATGCCTCCATTTTCGAAGGCGGACTTCCTAACTGGCCCGCCTCGGGGAAAAAGGCCTCGGCCCAAGAGGCCTAGACGAGCCCCGATAGGTGCTCCCATATATAAAAGCACAAGTTAGGGTTTCCCGTTCCAGTAGCGAGCGAGCCCCTTCACCGGTTTCCTCTCCTCTCCCTTCCGAGCCGCCGCTCCCTCCGTATCCCTCTCGACCAAGCGATGCCCGCGCCTCCTTCCCTCCCAACCGAGTGGCCACCCTCCCTCCCGACCGAGCGCGCGCGCCTCCCTCCCTCCCGAGCAGCACGGTCGTCGCCTCCTTCTCCGATGCCCCGGCGTGGCGCGCACGACCGCATCCTCCTCCTCCGATGTGGCGCGCGCGACCGCATCCTCCTCCTCCGACGTGGCCGTGCGGCCCCCTCCGGCGGCGGCGACCCTCCCTCCCCTCCGGCGCGGATCCCTCTTCTCCCTCCTGAGTGGCCCATGGGAAGCCTAGATCCGGAGCAGCAGTTGGAGGAGCAGCGGCGGCGTTCCTCCTCCTCCAGCGGCGCGTGGGAAGGCCAGATCCGGCAGCGAGGAGGCCGGATCCGGTGGCGGGAAGGCCGGATCCGGTGGCAGGGTCCGGCGGCGGCGCTCCTCCTGGTGGCGGATCCAGCGAGCGACAGGGACGGGGACGACCCATGGATGGGCTCGGCGGGCCTGTGGGTGGGCCCGCGGGAAGGCCGGAAAACCAAAAGACTTAATTTGTCTTGGATGTCCCTAATCTTTTTTGTCTTGTCGAAGCCTCCATTATATTTTTTTGACACTAGCTCATCAACCTGTTTTTCTATACGAGCTAGAATTGTATGTTTATTATATTACTATACGAAAATATTTTTTCTGCAAAATAAATGGTCAGTTTCAGTAATAATTCACTGACAACCACTGTTTGCTGTAATTAAGATATAAGAATGCCTCTTAATTACAGATGTCTATCATCATCATACCGTATGTAAGCATCCATATAAATTATATATGACGACAGTAGCAGTAAGGGCACACACCTGCCGGATGTTGGTAGCCCAAACATGTCAGCATGGGTTGTAGATGATCCTTTGAGCTCATCCTCCTCGGTAACTGAGGACACGTTTGGTTGGAAGCCTTTTGCTTGGGGAAAAATGTTGCCTGAGAGATGTCTAGAATTTTGAGAGAATCTGCCTGACCAGGTAAGTTGAGAGTTATTTGTTTGGTTACATGCCTGGCATGAGAAAGCTAATGAATAGAGATCATGTGTTTTCTTCTCTGCTGGAGAGGTAATTAATTCATTTTCTTAATTAATAATACGTCAAATATACACAAATAAATATATGGTGACAAAATAAAAACAGATAAGTGAGTTTTCTTAATTTATAATCTGCTTAAATTAATGTGTTTTTTATTTATCTTTGTATAGTTAACATGTATTTTTATAATCTGATTAACCAAAATATATAATTTATTAAATTGTTGTCACGTGTTTAATATTAGTTAATCACGTTTAATAAGATTAAATAGGAAATATATTGATAAATTATGTCTTTTAGTATAATATATGATTTTAATACTTTTGATTAAATAATGTGAGGATAAATAAAAAATAAGTAACCAACATAAGAAATCTTAATCTGGACTTGGAAAAATAATGGTTATGAACAGTAAATAATGCCATCTTTAAAACATATGTTAATGTTATAATGTATAAACAATAAATAAATAAATAAAAACGATCCACATATTTTCTCAATTAATAATATATTTCAAATTATAAATAAATTTAATAGATTTGCTAGCTATTTAAAAAACATCACAAGAAAAAACGCATGAGAAAGGAAGATAATTGACACTGCTCACACTGCTAATTTAGCGTGAACATGATCAACGAAAGGGAGAAAGAATATAGAAAATATAAAATATACAAAACAAAAACTACACGGTGATATGATATGGTTCCCTTTTACCCTGATAACTGTTTCCATGCCGGGCAACCGTGTCAGTACCCAGGCAGTCGAATTCGGTCGCCTGGCTCACGTTGCCCTTGCCTGGTCCAGTCATCATTTGAGGGCTCCAACCAAACACCTCACAGGCAGACTTCAGGCAGCTGCAAATCCAGGCAAAAGTAGTCCAGGGTCTGATCCAAACAAGCCCTGAATCAGTGGGTGATTGCGTGCACTTCGCCATCCTGTTCGCCTCTGCATGGCTCATTGCGTGCCCCTACCGCTGTTAAATAGAGGAGGAGCAATACATGAGCATGCTATAACTTCATTTACAGAAAAGGAGATACCCAAAAACATTTTATATATACTGAAATAAGAACACGGTATGGTAGCTGAAGCGCCAACAGAAAAATATTACAGAAACCAATATTTTAAATATGGTTTCAGTAAGTTGGTTAAGTGTTTGAGTGATTTACACCTATTCAGACCACCTCAGTCCCAACCCATGTGGATTGTGGGATAGATTGAAGTGCAATCAAACAAGATCTTGGTTGGAGGAGGAGGTGCTCAACACGTCAGAAATTGATAGTCTAACTTTGTGCTTTTTGTTTCGTTGAAACTAATTGCACTAGTAGTTAGCAAACAAATACTATAAGTGAACTGTGGTTTGAATTAGTTCCTTTTATAGTGCGCTGGTTACAACAACACAAAATGGTAAAGAGCAATCGACCGAAAGAATCACTTCGCTACCACACTTTTTGCAAAAAAGAAAAGAAAAGAGAACATCGTTTGATTTCAGTGGTACCACTAATTAACAATGGCTCTCTTAGTGTCTCCACGTTAAATTTCATAAGAAACGTGCTTAGAACCAAAACCTAGATAGATCCTTTAAATTGTTACAAAGTCGAGCAAGGGGCCAAAATCTTCCTAGCTAGGACCTCCAAATTCGGGCAGAAAACAAAGGAAAAGAAAAGACAGGACGACACTAGCTACATGTGTTCTAGAATAAACAAACGAAAAAGGAAGAAGGGGCAAGCTTACCGTAAGACAGCGAGGTACAGATGAAATCGAGGAGGAGTCCTGCCGAAGGATCGGAGGAGATGCTACTGAAATGGGGAAGGGATTCCTTGCCGGCCTGGTTCTTTTATAGCGGAGACTACCAGCTCTTTACTTCCGAGTCCGGACAGCGTTTCTCCAACGCGGACTTAGAGCGAACTACTCCCACAGCCTGCAGCTTACGCGAACTATAAAATACTCCACGTCCACGTCTTCGGCTGGCTTGGCAGGGTGGGACCAACCTTTGGCGTCCCTTCCTCTGTATCATCTGCGCCTGTCTGAGATTGGTTATTCATCGATCAGACCAGCATTTGTAGTTGTAGCCGGTAGGTGCTTGATACAACCTTTAATTTAAAACACGGATTTTATTTGAAGCTCATGCAATATATATGCAGCGTATATAAGGACAGTGTTCTTATTCTGTAGACGAGCTGCTGAACATTTTTACTGTTTATGTGCAGCACGCACAAGTTGTACAAAGCAACATGTCCTTTGAAGTCGTGACGAATGACAATCACTACTACGACAAGGTTTGTGTTAGGGGTGGTTGTATACGGTTTGTAGGAGCAGCTGGCTCAGTCCTTCATACGCATCCACCTCTAGAAATAACCGATCTCTTAGCCATCCCTAAAAATTTATTTGTATGGGCAGCTATCGGGGTGTTCGGCTTGTATTAAATTTCTACTGTAGCAACCAGAAAACACTGTTCATTCTAGGATTTGGTGAGAGAACTATACTGCTCTAGCTAGAAAAAAAAAACAAAGCTAGCCAGCCGAACACGCCCAACATTTCTATGGCAGCTACGAACCGCCGCAACAAATCGTTTTCTAGAAATCATAAATCTTTTTTAATCCAAGGAGGCCTAGGCAGCTACACCGGATGCAGAACCGACCAGAGCCGATGCGGACACACCGGATCCGGGCACCGGCACGCTGAACCACATGCCCCGCTCTGCAGGAGACACGCTCGCATGGCTTGGCAATAGACTAGTGTGCCTGGCACAACTAGAGCACCCACCGCATTTTACGCCTCAAATCCGGCTAAGATGTCGCCGGATATGCCCTCAATGGGGCCGGATTCGCGCTCAGGAGCCACTACCATGGGAGAGTGAGTGAGCGAAGATCCCTGCCAAATCCGCAGGATCCTCTAGGCCAGATTGACCGGCTGAACGCCACCGACATCTAGCTGCTTTGATATCTGAAAATTTTCAGTGAACTTTATATGTCTAAATTCATCTGTGATGTAGGATTGCTCATTCTGCCCTGAGCATACCATTATTTCTGGCATGCTGATATGTACATGCATTTGACTAATCGAGTAC